AAAATAAAACAACTAAAGTTTGAGACCATTTTAGAGATTAAGTACTAATTTTCATTCATGTTTCTCAACACAACATAGAGAAAAATAGAAACATATTGTCAATATATTTTATCTTTTATATGAATAATTCATATCTTTATATAATATTTATTTTCTTCTTTTCCGGAGACGCAACTAGACTTACTCTTAATCTTTACACAAATGATTTTACTTTCCCTTTCATGATTAAAATAATAATAATAATTAATGAAACAATTTCATATATATCTATATTTTTATTATAGACAGAATAGTCAAATAATAAAATATTTTTTCTTTATATCATTTTGTGTGAGTTGAGCATACACAAATTCTATTTATCCAATAAAATTTAAATTCATCGACTGCGACCATCTTGAGGGTGGGTTTGAGTGTCGATTTAAGTATTGTTATTCTAATATCTTCACTCGCGCTCTACACATATTATTCACCATTTTCACCTAAGTATGCACTGCGATAATCTTTTACTCTCAAGTAATATCAAATAGAATCGTTCGCAATTGATATTATGGATGTAATAGAGTTGTCAATCTTAAACACAGTTATATGGAACTTCACCTACAATTATCTTGTTCACATGTATTATTAAAAATAATAAAAAAAATCAATGAGTAATATTCATTACAATAAAAAAAAAGGTTTATTGTTATATTTGATGATGAATAGAATCATCTCATAGATATTGTTTAATAATGATCATCAGACCGAAAAATAATAGAAGAGCATTCACTCTAGCTGTATTTCCACTACAGTAGTCTGACGTTACTCCAGTAACTCCTACATTCGGACATGCTTCTGGATATTTACTTCTGCATCCGTCCAATGTACAGGTTTTACAATTTGAAACAAAATAAACAGTTTGATTTTGTATTATACAAGATGAACCCTTACAACACATACAAGTGCAGGGGTATGTTGCAGCAAGAACAGTCGTTTGAAAACTGAATATCAATAAGAGAAGACTTGTCATTATAATTAAATTCATTTTCCAAGTTTGTGTATTAACTAAAACTATAATCAATAGTTAAAAATACAAATCATGCAAACTTTAAATATCTTTGAAAAACATAAGATAAATCCTAAATTTGCTTAAAGCTTTTTGAACAGAATTTAATACTGTTTGCAGCAAATATTTTTTGTATGAGATAGAATGTATATATCGTTTATATTCTTTTTTGTGCTCTATTTATTGACTCTCATACTCACATGTTACTAGTGTGTAGATAATAAATGCGCAAAAAAATATATTCTTTGCTTTCTCTACACAATTAAATATTGATAAACAGAACGTGTTTTATTATATGAGTTGAGTAGATGAAGAAATGAAAAAGATTTCTTCTGCCGTTGTATTTGAAGGATAAATATAAATGTATGTCTCTCCTTCAACTAAACTCTCATGCTAGAATTGTACATTACTTTGTATTTTAGCAGTTAAAGCCATGAATCTTCTTTATTACATAATTTTCATTTCTAAAAATGAGTTTATTTGATGTATTATTTTTTCCTTCAAGGACAGAATTAACAGTCTAGAGTATTAAAAATTTGATGAACTCTAATAAATAACTTAGTAGATTCACTTGGAGTGAATGGATGAAGATATAAGTGTGAGTATTTATATAATCATCATCAAAATAAAACCAGATTATATTCTTGTTTTATTTCATGCTAAAAAGATATTTACTTCAATATGTATCATACAAAAATCAATCAAGTATACGATGTCTTCATTACCTATGATAATATATGGAGAATTCAATTAAATAAATTTTAATACTAAGATTCCATCAATATATTAGGAAAAGATACACATATAACTATAATGCTATTTTAATACTAATATCAAGGCGTAATTAAAAATTTCTAATCAGTTATTTCAAAAGATTTTTTCTTCTATTAATTATTTTTAAAAGAATAAGTCTATTATTAAAGGGTTAAGTAGTCAAAGAAGTGCAATACAAAGAAAGCAATTAAACGAATTAAAATTCTAATAGAGAACAATGTCAATGATGCGATATCAATTTAAAACTTCGCATCAGGCTATTATAATTTATTCTAATACGAAGAAATAAGATTTGTACTTTTTTCTATCACCTTTACGGTTGTCATTTGTTTAAAAAGAGTACTAGTAGTACTTCTGTTGTTGACTGAATTCATTTAATGTGATTATTCATACATATAGTAATGGTTGCTTCGTTTTTTAAATAGAAAAAAAAATTAAAATGATGTCTAGATATTTATTTTCAGAATTTATATATAACAATCTTTCATCTATATTGACGTATAAAAATATCTTGGATCAAAGTACGAGTTAATGAGTGATGAATTCTAATTATACAATAACAGTTTTAACTCCTTGAGCATTAATTTTTTTTTAATAATATCCTTATCCTACCCCTTCTGCTATCGGCTTTGACGTATATATACGTCAACAACAGTGAAGGAGTTAATATTTGAAAAAGATTATTTCTAATACCAAGATTATTATCCTTGTTCATTTCTTCTTATTTAAGATTTATTTAATCGATGAGAAAATAAATGTAAACGATTCCGGAATACTTATATAGAGATTAGTAAAATCTAATTAAAAAACAATTTTTCTTGAAGCACTCAACACATGAAATTATCAAAACAAAATTAAAATAAGAAAAAAAACGGAAGTAAGAAAATCTTAAGGAAACGAGAACGTTACACTTGACAAGCAATTACATGATCTCAGTTAATCAGATATCAGCGAAAACTACTATTTTCTTGTCTAAAATTCATCTAAATTTGTTTATTCATGTGATGCGAAGCAAAGAATTTATTCAGTGTCACACTTTTTCTTTCTTTCTCGATCTATGGATTAAAAGTTGTCATTTTATGTCGCGATAATCTCAGGAACAGAACATCGGAAAGTACTTTATTAAACGCGAGATGAATATATCAAGACAGAACTGATAACTTTTTTTTCCAATCTTTGATACGAAGTTTAGTTCGCTTACAGAAAAACGTCGCAATAATAATTTTCTTTTTTTTTCACATTTCGAGATAATTAAAACCACAAGAGAAAGTAAAAATAATAAATGTTGTACACCTAATAGTAGATGATTAAGTATTGAATCTTCAGTATTTCTTCAACATATATTAATTTAAATGCTCGATTCAGATGAACACCTCTATTTAATTACTATCACATATATTTTGATAATATATCAATTTCACTTCATTTTAAGATAGTCATGAATGTTAAGAAAGCTGGAAACTTAATTTTCTTTCTTTCTTTCTCTATTTACGCATTCCAAGTTGTCATTTCATATCGCGATAATTTCAGGAACAGAGCATTAGAAAATATTTCTTTAAACACGAGATGAACATAATAAGATCAAGCTGTTACCTTTTATCTCCTATCTTTCATAAAAAGTTTAGTTCACTTACAGGAAGTATCGCAAGAACTCGATTTTAACTATGCACTTTCTTCTTTTTTCACATTTCGAGATAATTAAACATTGAATCATCAGCGTTTTTTCAACATACGTAAGTTTAGCTTCACCAATTAGATGAACTCATTTGTTCGATTAGTGTGCAATCCTAAAAATCATGATCTCGATATCGAGCCTCTCATCACATTTCCTACTCGAGTTAAGACAATTGTTAGATGAGTCATATTTTTATTTAGTTTTAGAGCGAAATCAACATGACATAAAAGCCACATCCCCAACCTACAACTATTTTTCTTCGTTATATACGGTTGATAAGAGAAGACAAATTAATACTTACTTTTTTTAGATTATTTATTAAAAAAACATAATTATCAATGGCTGATGCTAACGACTATCTACAATTCATTAAATATATACTTTTACAAATTACTATTGTTCCATCCTTAATTTGTGATATATTTGTTTTCATTCATTTTATTCGTTATTGGAAAAAGGAAATTACTACCGCACCACAAAATCATATTATTTTTTGTTTACTTATTGTCAGTTTTATACAAAAGATCAGTGATGTACCTTTTGCTATATATTATTTTCGATGGAATATTGTTTATCAACAAACATATAATTTTTGTGTTATATGGGATTGGTTTAATTATACAGCAATGACTGTTAGTTTACAACTTGTATGTTGGTGTTCACTTGAAAGACATTTATTTGTTTTTCATAGTCAGATGATGAAAACAAAACAATTTTTAATTTTATTTCATTATATACCTATGATTATATGTTTATCATATACACCCATTTTCTATTTTCGATACATATTCTTTCCGACAGCATGTACGAATACTTGGGATTATACAACTATTTATTGTGGTGGTGCATGCTATTCATATTATGATGCAGTTCTAGGCACTTTTGATTGGTTATTTAATTATGGTTTACCAACATTGATTATTATTTTTGCAAATCCTCTTCTTTTTTGTCGTGTTCTATGGCAAAAAATCAATCGACAAGGACCAGTTCAATGGAGTCGTCAAAGACGTATGATTATTCAACTTAGTTTTATTGCTCTTCTTTATCTGTTATTTATGGCACCACAAGTTATCGTCGGATCTATGCAAACTTTATGGGGAGTAGATTTTCTTTATGATGTACAGGCTGATTATTTATATTATATTGTATATTTTATTAATCAATTATTGCCATTTGTTATTATTAGTTCACTACCTGGAACACAAAAAAAATTAATAAAATTGATGAAATATATCAAATTATTTCTTAGTTGTAAAACACAAGTACATCCCTTAGTGACAACTATAGACGGTAGTAATCGTGTTACACTTATAGCTGTACATTAACAAAATCTACTAATTCTATTCATTTACATTCTTAGTATAGAACATATTCGTTCGATATTGTGCAGTATTTATTACATTTACAAATCGTTTTTTCTTATATAATTATGTTTTCAATCGTGGTGTTTTTCATTGTTTAGAAAAAATCTCTTCAATTTCCTGTTTTAGATGATTTTTTTCTTTCTCAAGTAAAGATCAAAGGGTTGTTGTTCAAATTAAGTGTTATTAGTGTCTGTAGAAAAAATATTCATAAGTAATGAAGGTTTTTGAGAGAAAAACAAAATTACCTTATGAGTGTGTAATATATCTAATAAATATTGTTCTCCATTATCACCAATTTGATTAAATCCCATATCCAAAGTAGTCAGTGTCTACAAGAAAATAAATACACATTAAACAAAATGGAAACAAAACGACAATAACCTTATTAGTTTTCGATGCAGCAGCTAAATATTCAGCTCCTTTTACTTTGATTTCATTGTCCCATAAACTAAGTGTCGTAAGAGTCTATGTGTAAAAATAGAGAGAGATAGAAAAAGAATTTATGAGATTAGTACATATACTGAATTTATTCGTAACATATCAGCTAAATATTTTGTTCCAGCAGTGCCTATTTGATTGCGTCCAAGATCGAGTGTGATAACTGTCTAAGTATAAAATAATGATAAACCCACACAAAATACAAAGAGAAATAGTTACTGTATTCTTTTGTAATGCATTAGCAAGATACCGTGCTCCTGTACTTCTTATTTGATTATTCCATAGATAGAGTGTAGTAAGTGTCTATACAAAAGAATTTCTATGAAAAAACAAACAAAACAAGAAGAAAATGAAATATCACTGTGTTAGTCATCAAAGTATTTGCTAAATATTCTGCTCCATTATCATCAATATGATCGAGTTGAAGATTAAGTATACGAAGTGTCTAAACAAATATAAGTATATCAGAAACAAATCTATATAGAAACTGACTGTGTTTTTTTGTAATGCATTAGCCAGATATTCTGTTCCGTTGCTGCTCAATTCATTATCTCTCAAATTGAGAGTTGTAAGTGTTAAGATAATCAAAGATATGATGAAGAATTTCGACTGGAAAATCGAGAAGACACATACTCGACATTGGTATTGATGAAATAATTTTTTCAAAACTGAATGAGAATGATTCAAAAAAAAATAAACCTCGTGGATTGCCTTTTTTTTCTTGTTATTCTTCGATATGTTATTATAAGAAACGATGAAAGATTGAGTAACTCAACTATATGA